GATTAAATCAATAAAATCAATTGACGCATTCAATAATTTTTTTCAGTCACCCTATATATGCAAATCGAAAAAATATGAACGGAGTGATAAATCACAAGTACAGACTCATCATATTTTTCACATTTTAGATAGGATTTATTCACCAAATTTTAGGGCGACGTCATCGATTTTTTTAGGGGGGAAGAGCAAATACATTTTGATAAAAAAATTACCATGCTTATGGTAACTTTAAAACATCTCCAAGATTTCAAAGCATTCGATTATGTAATTCCTGACTAAATCAATAAAATAAATTGACGCATTCATTAATTTTTTTCAGTCACCCTGTATATGCAAATCGAAAAAATTTGAATGGAATGATAAATCACAAGAAGAGACTCACCATATTTTGTACATTTTAGATAGGATTTATTTGGCAAACTTTTGAGCTGACGTCATCAAGTTTTTGGAGGGGATAACCAAATATATTTTGACTAAAGATTTATGATGCTCTTTAGAGCCTAAAACGTCTGCAACATTTCAAAACATTCGGGTTAGCAGATTCAAAATTAAATTGCAAAATGTTGTTTTATAATTTTGATTTTTTTTCCAAAAATCTGGACGTTTCGGGTAAAAACTGAATTCGGAGTCGTAAACTACATGTGTAGGACTATGTTATTTTATACAATTTAAGACCTATTTACTATGTACAATTTTGAAGTGACGTCATCGCATTAGTGGTGGGGATGATTAGACAAATTTTGGTTAGCGTTTTACCATCTACATGATAGTCCTAATATAAGTACAAAATTTCACAACAATCGGTCCAGTACTTTCGGAGATTATCTGTCTAATAAAAATCCGGGACGGCAGACGGACAGACGGACGGACAGACGGACAGACGGACGGACAGACGGACAGACGGACGGACAGACGGACGGACAGACGGACGGACAGACAGACGGAAATGGGAGACCTATTTCTTCGTCTTCTAGGGGTCATGAAAGATCGAGAAAACGTAAAAGCAGAGAGTCGGCCGACGGACTCGATTACAATACATGCTTTGCTTACGCTCGGGAAGTAAAAAGGGGCAAAAAAGTGATGTGAAGAACTACCGAGGGATCACCTTGCTCAATACGGCGTACAAGATATACGCAATGATACTAGATGAGAGGTTACGAAAGGAGATGGAAGCAAGGGGTATGTTACCAGACGGTCAGGCAGGGGTTAGGAAAGGAAGAGGTATGATGGACAATGGGTACATCCTGCGGAATTTAGTGAGAAGAGAAATAAGGAAAGATGGTCGACGAATGTACGCATTGTTCATAGATTTCAATGCAGCGTTTTATAGCGTAAATAGAGAGAAAATGGGGAGTATTTGAAGAGAAAGGGAGTAGAAACGTACCTGGTAACGAAAATGGAAGAAATATAAGAAAAAACAGTAAGTAAGGTGAGAGTGAATGGAATAGAGAGCGAGAGTTTTTATACAAATAGAAGAGTGGAACAGGGATACCCACTCCGCCCCGCATTGTTTGCAGCTTATTTAGGAGATATAGATGAAATGTTCAGAAAAGCACAGACAGGAGGGGCGGTAGTGGGAAAGAGAAAGTGTGGTCGCTGGCGTACGCAGAGGACTTGGTGATTTCGGCAAAGAAAAGAGAAGACATGAAAACAATGATTAAAAGTTTTGAGAAGTACGTACAAAAAAAGGAATTGGAACGTGGAAAAAACAAAAATGGTGATGTTTGGGAAAAAGTGAGAAAGGAGAAGGAAGAATGGGCATGGAGAGAGAAGAAGATTGAACAAGTGAAAGAATTCCAGTATTTAGGATATACATTAAAGAGCAATAACTCAGATAGAGCGTATATTCAAGAAATGGTCCGAAAAGCGAACAAAGTGATGGAATAGTATGGGGAATAGGAGAGAAAATTTGGACATGATTATAAGAGAAGAATGATGATGTTTGAAAGTTTGATCAAACGTGCATTTATGTATGGAACTGAGATTTGGGGATGGAGGGAATATGAAGAAATAGAGAGAGTGCAAGAAAAGTACTTAAAATGGACATGGAGAGAGAAGAAGATTGAACAAGTGAAAGAATTCCAGTATTTAGGATATACATTAAAGAGCAATAACTCAGATAGAGCGTATATTCAAGAAATGGTCCGCAAAGCCAACAAAGTGATGGAATAGTATGGGGAATAGGAGAGAAAATTTGGACATGATTATAAGAGAAGAATGATGATGTTTGATAGTCTGATCAAACGTGTATTTATGTATGGAACTGAGATTTGGGGATGGAGGGAATATGAAGAAATAGAGAGAGTGCAAGAAAAGTACTTAAAATGGACATTGGGATTGGAAAAGTATACGCCGGTGTATACACTGAGAGAAGAAACAAAAATTGGTCTAAAGAGTTTAGACAGTACTTCCCTCGCTGTCGGAAACGTGACGACTGCATGCCTATTATGTTTTTTTTTCGCAGTGGATTTCAAAGAATTCGGTTTTGTAGTTCCTGATTAAATCAATAAAATATATTTACGCATTCATTAATTTTTTTGAGTCACTCTGTATATGCAAATTCAAAAAATATAAATGGAGTGGTAAATGACAAGTACAGACTCATCAAATTTTGTACATTTTAGATATGATTTATTCGGCAAACTTTCGAGCTGACGTCATCAAGTTTTTGGAGGGGATAAGCAAATATATTTTGACTAGACATTTATTATGCTCTTTATGACCTTAAAACATCTGCAAGACTTCAGAGCATTCGGTTTTGTAGTTCCTGATTAAATCAATAAAATATATTTACGCATTCATTAATTTTTTTGAGTCACCCTGTATATGCAAATCCAAAAAATATGAATGGAGTGATAAATTACAAGTACAGACTCATCATATTTTTACAGTTTAGATAGGATTTATTCGGCAAACTTTCGAGCTGACGTCATCAATTTTTTGGAGGGGATAAGCAAATATATTTTGACTAAACATTTATTATGCTCTTTAGAACCTTAAAACATCTGCAAGATTTCAAAGCATTCGGTTTTGTAGTTTCTGAGTAAATCAGTAAAATAAATGTACGCATTCATTAATTTTTTTGAGTCACCCTGTATATGCAAATCCAAAAAATATGAATGGAGTGATAGATCACAAGTACAGACTCATCATATTTTGGACATTTTAGATATGATTTATTCCACAAACTTTTGAGCTGACGTCATCAAGTTTTTGGAGGGGATAAGCAAATATTTTTTGACTAAAGATTTATGATGCTCTTTATAGCCTTAAAACATCTGCAACATTTCAAAGCATTCTGGTTAGCAGATTAAAAATTAAATTTCAAAATGTTGTTTTATAATTTTGATTTTTTTTCCAAAAATCTGGACGTTTCGGGTGAAAAGTCGATTCGGAGTTGTAAACTACATGTGTAGGACTATGTTATTTCATACAATTGAAAACCCATTTACTATGTACAATTTTGAAGTGACGTCATCGCATTAGTGGTGGGGATGATTAGACAAATTTTGGTTAGCGTTTTACCATCTACATGATATTCTTAATATAAGTACAAAATTTCACAACAATCGGTCGAGTACTTTCGGAGATTATCTGTCTAATAAAAATCCGGGACAACAGACGGACAGACGGACGGACAGACGGACGGACGGACGGACAGATGGACAGACGGACAGACGGACGGACAGACGGACAGACGGACAGACAGACGGAAATGGGAGACCTATTTCTTCGTCTTCTAGGGGTCATGAAAGATCGAGAAAACGTAAAAGTAGAGAGTCGGCCGACCGACTCGATTACAATACTTCCTTTGCTTACGCTCGGGAAGTAAAAATGGATAAAATGAGAGTGACCCGCTTCCACAAAAGGGCGGCTAGATTTGAAGAGAAGTTTAGTGAGAGAGGTGACTGTAAAATTTTGCAAAAATGTTGGAAAGAAATAAGAAAGGAAGGGGAAAAACGTGTTTGGAACGAATGAGCCAAGTATTATGAAGGAAAGGGATATGCATGTGAAGAAATAGAGAGAATGGGAGAAATTGGAAGGAGTATGAAAGAAGAACTGAGTGTAAGAGATAAGGATGTAGATAAGTAAGAACGCAGATCGAGAACATCGGAGTCTAGATATAATGCAGAGTATAGAAAAATAGTAAAAGATGAAGTACCAAAGTACACACAGAGAAAGAGTATAAAAGAGAAAAGAATGATGGCGTGATTTAAGTGTGGAAATGAAGAGAAAGAGAATAATTTTTGGATGGATGAAACTGACAGAAGTTGTAGGATATGTTGGAGAGAGGGAGAAACAATAGAACATATGCTGGAAGGATGTGAAGGATTGAGAAAATCTGAGGAAGGCAGGGAAGAAATGTTAAACGGGGATGGAAGAGGACTGGACTGGATGAAAGAAGAATGGAAGATAAGGAAACTAAGGCAAGGGGTGGGCAAGCAAACAGAATAGAACAATTATTTTATTATATAAAACTCGAAAATTTAATTTATTTATTTTTATTGCTTTATTTGTATTATGTAGATTAAGTTAATTTGTACCCCTACTGGGAATCTTATTAAGCCTGTAAGACAAATAATAAATTAATACTACTACAAGGATCCATTCTGAGCCCACGCTTGTTTATTATTTATAGAGCCGATTCACATTATTTGCAGACGATTTAAACTATATCGAAATGGGCGTTAAAATAGCTTTTTCCATTCAGCATACAAGTGCTATATACTCCACTGTAGTAGCAATAATCCAAAATTTAAATATTTTCGTGGATCTCATTTATTAAACTGCGAAGAAAAAAGTGGCAAGAAAAAATTACCTATGCGTTAATTGTGAGGTACAAAAATGAATCATATTTAAATGATATCACTAACGATGTGTGTAGGTATATAATTGTTTAGCTGGTAGCAAGAAAAAAATGAAATTAAACGGACTCTGTTACAATTATTAGAATCATTTATTAAACGCCCACTTAAAACTCTTCGTTTTTGGTTTATAATTGACTGTCTTAGACGCAAGGCTATTAACATTTACTATATAACAAAAATAACTGAATCACACTTAGACAAGTAACACAAAAAGCGGAACACCAAATTTTCAAGAAAGATTTTTCACTTCAGTTCCACTAATGTTCATACATGGCATTCAAGTTGCATTTGATTAAATTTTCCTTGGTTTCGACGTGAGTGAGGAAATTTTCAGTGTCCTTCCTGTCAATGTACTTCTCAGCTATACAGTATGGCACAATACCGCTACCAAAATATTTTTTAGTGCAGGGAGCCAGTATAACGGACTTATAGTGTATCAGAAAGCTCTCAAAGGATGCCCAACTGTCACAGGCAAGAGGATTTCCAGCGAGCGACAACAATGTGACTTCTGACGCAATATCTTGTAGCGTTTCATTTTTAACACTTTTAATCACATTAAAGCTCAAATTAATTTGTAGGGTTGTTATATATTCCATTACCTCCTCATAATTATGTCGTCTACGTAACAACGCATTGATAAATTCGACGGTTTGAATTTTATTGTGACTTAGGTTGAGGGTTACCAAAGATGCTAGTTTTTCAAAAGTGCCGCTTTGAACGCTTTTGATCTTGTTGTATGAAAGATCCAAAACTTCTAGACGCTCCATTTGAGTGATATTTGGCATTTCGAATATGTTGTTATGACTTAAACGAAGATCTTGTAAGTATATTAAATGACTAACTACTCCATCGTGCACATGGCTTAATTTGTTGTAGCTTAAGTCCAAAATTTCCACAGACACTTGGAAAGCTCCTTCCTGTATGTAGTTGATTTTATTATTTCGTAAGAATAAATTTTTTACCCCAACGAAAAAAATTTCCCGTTCTAGAACTTCGATCCTGTTATTTGATAAGTCGATTTCGTCGATGCTAGAAAATGAGAAGGCTCTTCTTTCTATTCTTTCTATGGAGTTATTAACCAAAGACAACTTCTGTAAACGTAGTTTAGTTGGGAATGTGTAACTTTCTAGAGTTGGTAATTTGTTATCTCGAAAGTTTAGATATCGTAGACGATGTTTAATAAAAGGAATTTTGTCTTTCCAACACAAACCGTTGATTTGTTGCACGATTGTAGCACTCAAAACATCTCGTGTTTCCATATAGAAGCTTGTCAGATCCAGACAATCCATCATCTTTTCAGATTTTCTTGGATTCGATTTCACAACTAGATTTGTGGTTGTTGAGGTGAGATGTGTTTTGTAGAGATCATCCACATTATCACACACGGTCACATGATCTTCGGTGCAAATACTGTGCGCTTCTGGTAAATGCGCTAACAGTAGAAGAATACATAAATTTTTAAATGCTGCGGGTGGCATTTGTCGTTAAATCTTCTTAATTTAGTGAGTACAGTAGCCTATATACCACCTCTGAACTGTAATTTTGCTATTTATTGGTAATTATTGATAACCCTCGACCCCAATCGGTAGCTCAGCGATAAAATAAGCATGTTTATTATTCATTAAAATTTGTGACCCTGTGGTACTCATCCATATTTTTAATTGCGATTAGATAGAGAATATGTTATTACTTATTAGTTTGCAGCTACTTGGATTGAAAATATAAAGTTTACGTAACAAAATATGCGAAATACAGTCAAAAGCCTTTATCAGTTAATTTATTAAGGATAGATTTCCCCAAAACTTGGTGTTTTTACACCATCTAGAAAAATTGGTGATCTTAAGCAGCTGTTTATCAAAATTTTGCTGGGCAATGAACATATTTTTAGACCCAGCAGTGACCCGGAAATAATCTATATCCAGACAAGACTTCTGCCATAACGGGTACTAAAACCAAGAAGTATTGATTATGTTATTATTGTTTGCGTTAATTCTATTTTTTGCTTTAGCACAAAATGCTTTCATTTAGAAGATTTTGTAAAAATTTCACTATATATTTGAAGGAACCGCTTCTCGATCTCACCAGAGCTATAATGAGTGTTTACAAAAAACCGTTCTTTCAGAAAACCGTCCTAATGATACAGCAGCGCGGCCCCCAAAATATCCCCGAAGGCCTCCAGACAGCAAACAACGATGCAGACAGCGGAGCTCCTCCGTTACCACCCAGAACGGCAATTATTTTCACCCCTTTACCTGCCGTCTCGAAACCGCAAGGTAAGAAAAACAAAACGCTGACCGAAATTTATTAGAATTTCACTTTCGTGCCGGTAATTTGTGTGCTCGAGATTACGATGGTATCCGTTAATTATACACTTGTTTTGAAGGAGTTTTAATTCGGTTAAGTGGAACTTGTGGTAGTCGCTGGGTTCACGGAACCGCGCAAGAATGTGGCGTTGATTTAGTGGAACACTGAAAATTTTCGTTTTATGGCGGAATTAAAGAGGTTTTATGGTGGTATTAAAAGAAAAATTTGGGCGTTGGTTGGCGATTTACATGGGTGATTAAAGATGGTAATCCGCGGGTTGATCTAATCTTTGAGTTGGGTTTCGCGATTTTGGCTGGTTGGCGACCTTCGAGAGGTGCAATAATTTTTAATTGCGGTCGGAACGTGGGTTGATTTATTTGGTTTTGGTTGTTTGTAACTGTTGTTGTAGTTTTGTTAACATAGACATTGGTTTTCCATATTCATGGAAATAATTTAATGGTTCGCAAAATGGTATCATTTAAACCTTGAACTATAACTAAGCCATTTAATTTTTTTAATTATTCTAAGTTATGATATTTATTCCGGAATACTTAAAATTTCGAAGCAGCTATTATTATTTCTGCCAACTTTTGAATGTACTTTGTTTAGTGTCGAGTGTTGGCGGATGACTTGAGAATTTAATAAAGGTCTACGAATAACTTCCATCAAGTAAAGTAATCAGAAAGCAAGAGTGTACAAAACCACTTATTACTCTACCATCTTTTGAATAATATACATATATAATACAGAGTTGTAACTCTATTTCACTTATCAAAAAAATGGCATCAAGCTTTAAAATATGTGTTATTACCACGAAAAAGTTGTTAAATTTACAGCTTTATTCGCATTTAATTAAGCCTGTGAAGTATAAGATTCACTTGCAAATTTATTTCTGATAATTTTATCCACTTCTGCTAGCGTGTAAATACTTTGAGAAGAACACACTAATGAAATAACTCATTAGTCATAAAGGCATCCGAATGGGAATGTACATCAATGTTTTGTTATTCCTTTGTCGTTTAACTTAACAGTGCCTTTAACCAAGCCTTTAAACAAGCGTGATAACTGCATCTAAACTAAAAAAAATGTGTATAACAATATTTTCGGATGCCCCCATTGCAGAACCATACTGTCAAAGCGTAAATGACACATTGTGAAGACTCAGTATGTTCTTCTCGTACTATTTTCACTCTACCATGCAGCCTGCAGACACAAACGTTAAACTTATCTCCATTGCTTTGTTTTTCTTATTTCTCATATTCCACACTGTTCACGATGAAATTATTTTCCATAATTAATAATTCATAACTCTTTTTATACTCCTAAGATTCTATCGGTTAATGAGATTCCCACTAACGAGTCTTAATCCAATAATTTACATATACCTCGAAGCATATATTCATAGATTTAATTGAAACCATCAGCATCAACGCATCAACCACTAAACATATCTAAAATATCTTAATCGCCCTTTGACAGCAGACGCATCCCATAAAAATCAGCATCCAACCATCAACTGACCCAGCATCCCAATTAAGTCGGTTTACAGCGCACCGCCACTATGTAAAACCTACGTGGTACACCTCCGCGATTCCACCTCGACCCATTATTGAAATCACCATCAATTAACTCGCAAAATCGACCCAATTTTCCCTGCCATGTTTAAACCCACCAAAATGACCTTCTGTGACATACCCTTCTAGTTTCTTCTGTAGAACCGATATAAACTTTATTAGTGTAGATAATATCTTGCTTGTATTTTATTAATGACAAATTGTAAGATATTTTTTCGTCTGTGGTGATATTGATATTCTTCCTAAATAAATAATCTTATTTTCTGGTTGTGCATAGCTTTTTTACATTTTTTTGCTTTTATAATTTGCAAATTTTTATTTTGTCCTTGTACAAAATAACTACAAACATAACAAAAAACAACGGAAAAAGCTACAATTTCTGGATATTATATTATCAGAATTTATCTTCTATCAAAAATCGAGTCACACTTAATTTTTCATCTTTGTTAATGTTTAAATTAATGGTTGTAATCCATGTGGAATGTTCTGCGGCACATTATAAAAATAGCTTGTGGGTGGTTACCTAATGTTTAGAATTCTTGATGCCATCTCTTCGTGTTATTCTATTTTAACCTCAGTTTTTATCGTATATAATTATCTCCACTATAATAAGCGAAGCACTGGCGATGTTTTTTTTTTGTTTTGTTAAGCGAATGTTAGGCATTTTTCCATTTTTTTTCGTTTAAGTTGTAATTGTTTAGACAGTCAGCTGATCTTATATGCTGAACTCGTCACTGAATTTATATTAATTTTGTATGCAATAAACTTTAATTTTATGTAAATATTATGGTTATTTTGATAATCAAAAATTGAATCTTCACATATTTTCAACACATTAAATTGAAATAAGTCTATATACAAGCCTTGAATATACAAGACTCAGTACAATTTTCTTAATGTTAAAAAAATGTAATATTCATTGCATTTTTTTTATTTTTCCATGCATTCTTTTACTTAATATTTCCACTGCATATAAATGTTGTTTCTGTTCTTCCAATGATAATTGATACTGATTCTGTGTACACTTTTGTGTCTTTCCATGTTTTCCGTAGTCTGACTTTCCTTCTCTGGATTGGTTTTCGGGGAGAGGATCATTTTCGCTATTCTTTCATTTCCCAATCGTTCGATGTGCCCTAACCATCGTATTCTCTATATTTTAATTACTAGCGACCTTTTTGGTTCTTTGTTATTATAGTTTTTCTCCATATTTCTTCCCTGGTTATTTCTTCCTATATCACAGTCAGTATGTCCATCTCCTATTTTTGTAGAACGTCTATTTCTAATGTTTTCAGCACCCATATCACAAATTTCTTTTTAATGTATTGAACTTCATCATTGTACTTACGTAACATTCTGTATTTTTTATTAACTTTTACTATCCTTGTTTTAATTTACTGTTATTCATACGCCTTTACATCTGTAAATTCTTCACTTTATATCTTATGTTACCACTTTCTATACTTATACTGTAAGGTTTTATTCTGCTTCGCCTTGGTTGTCACCCATTACTATGTATTTTGCCTTGTCTTTGTTTAATTTGACTCCAACTTTTTGTAATTTTTTCTTCCTTTTTGACAATTTTTTCAATGGTCTAAGAAGAACTAATTTGATTTTTTTACAAAATTTGCTACAATTTTATACTGAGGTCGAAGAAATCCTGTTAATTAGATAAATTATCAAATTTGATTTTGTGAATTTTATTTTTTTTATGATAAACATTATCCACGAAAATCAAAAATTGTGTGGACTGTTAAACTATGCGTATGCTGCATGTGATTTTTTGTTAACTGATTTTATGATGACGTCATCAATTTTTAGCAAGGACATGTACCGGGTGTAGAACTGACACCCGCCGTATTTTACTCAATTAACTTTGCATGACAAAAGACGTACAATTAGTGACAAATTAATGAACTGGAAATGAATTATCACAGTTCATGGGTAGTAGTATTTCATCACAAATCGCGATTGTTTTTATTTGAATACCATGAGGTGTGAGGTGTTACAAAATAAATAAAAAAGGATTTAGATACAGTTTTTATTCTCTACAATTTTTGCATTTAATGTTTTGCTCTAAATTAATTAGGGGAGCCAGTATTTTCAAGTTTTTGTTTTTACATGTAATGTTCCACAAACGATTCTACACCCGGTATATTATTTTAAATAAGGAATAACAACAATAATAAAAAGTAAAGTATATTTAGGCTCTTTATTTTGTGACTTAACAAAAGCCTTTGATTGCCTATCAGTTGAGCTCCTTAAAGAAAAAAATAGTCTATGGAGTTACACATATGTACTAATTTAGAACTTCTGATTGATATCATTTGTTTTAAACAGAACTCAATAGTAATTTGTCGACAGTTGGTAGATATCATTTTTGACAATTTTTATCGGAATTTTAGATTTTCAATTAAATTCATATTAAGGCATATCAGAATTACGAAGTAAATTCTTCGATTTTCAAGTTTATTATTTTCAAAAATTTGGTTCAGAATTTGTTTTTATCATTATTTTCGGGTTCCACAAGTCTGTAAGTAATGCATTACTTACAGACTTACAGACGGTTAACACCTTTTTCCCGAAAGTTGGGGAATTTATTATTGTTATTAATAATAAAAATAATATTAAGGCATATCAGAATTACGAAGTAAATTCTTCGATTTTCAAGTTTATTATTTTCAAAAATTTGGTTCAGAATTTGTTTTTATCATTATTTTCGGGTTCCACAAGTCTGTAAGTAATGCATTACTTACAGACTTGTGGAACCCGAAAATAATGATAAAAACAAATTCTGAACCAAATTTTTGAAAATAATAAACTTGAAAATCGAAGAATTTACTTCGTAATTCTGATATGCCTTAATATTATTTTTATTATTAATAACAATAATAAATTCCCCAACTTTCGGGAAAAAGGTGTTAACCGTTCTTGATTTGATAAATAAAATAAATTTCTTCATTCATTTTTTTTTCAATCACCCCATATATACCTAAAAAATATTAATACATTGATAAATTACAAGTAGGTATTATAGGCTGTTAATATTTGGCACATTTTAGATGATGCGATTTGTTCAACAAAATTTTGAGAACACACAAAATACTAAAACTAAATTCATTTTTTTTAGTTTGGTTTTGTCTAGATATGTAGATAATGTCATCTCAAAATGATTCCAACATTTTGAGATGGCAGTAAGTTTCTGGAAGGGATTAAATTTTATTAACAATCTGTCATGCTTACGATAACCTTAAAAAGTTTGCAAGTTATTATGAGAAATGTCGTTATATAACCTCGGATTTTTAAAAAATTTGGATGTCTATTACAAAAATTATAAAGGGTGTCATAAACCACAAGTCTGAAAGCATGTTGTTTTCTAAAATTTAAATAGCATTTAC